TTTTTAAAAAAAATAATAATTTTTGGTACGGGAAGTTCCAGCAATTTGCCTTAAGGCACGATGCCCTAATTGCCTTAAGACAGAATTCCACTACAGCTAGTTACCCATATATTAACTTCTGCCCGTTGTCGTCGTTAACAGGACCTCGTGGGGCGAAGGATGGGTCCGAACTCCGAAGGTACACCGACGTACCCTCGTCAATCCATTGACAGCTAAAGTGACTTAAAATATCACGAAATGGACGAAAGGAACGCTTAAAAAGTAAAAACCTCCTTTACAAAAAGTCACTCGGATCGCAAAGAGTGCTATGGTAATCGCACTGACGAAAATAAATTCACTCAAAAGTCAATGCGAAGATCAGGACACGGGCAGGACCAAATTGGAATTAAAAAAAATTATAATAAGTCTAAATGGACATATAACGACTTTATTTATACATATCATAAATTATATTTAATGCTCTGATTACTTGACATAATTTATAATAATAAATAAAATATTATAAAGATATGCATTGCGTAAATTTTTGAATTAATTATGTGTTTGTATAAAATTCGTTTCCAATGACATCTAAAATTTGAGAGATTTTAGTACTTTACTTTGTTCTTTTAAAATGTATTTTTCAATCGTATTGTCCATTTTTGAAAATTACATTTTTTGTAGAATTTACCATCAAAAGTGACTTTTGATCTCAATTTTTATTGCGCTGTAGTAGTTACCAACGTGGTATAGCACAACCAATCCCAATCTTGACCAGCTTGATGTCAAGAAGTAGTGATATCGGCTTTTAATCGGAAATGTAGATAGCTAATCATCTGTATTATAGGAATTGTAATAATAAAAATCATTACACTGAGATGGAAATATAGACAACTAATCATCTAGCTAATTATAGGAATTGTAATATATAAAAATCATTACACTGAGATGGGACAACTGTTTTGGTTTCCATCTATAAAACGACGTAATTTGTTAAGTTAAATTATCGCAATAACTTATAGAACCCTTATGTTCTGATCGCTGTTAAGATATAAAAAGTGACTAAATATTCACAAATAATTTCATTGCCCTTATATTACATATAAAAATGAATAGTATTTATAATATATTCATATAATTTCTAATGATAAATAACTATTTGTAATACAAATTTGATATCAGTGTAAGTTTTTGATATTCTAATAATTTAATAATATGATAAATAAAGAAACTTAAATAAATTAATATTATTACCATAAAAAAACGAGCCAAAATAATATTAGTACGATATGATTGTAACAATTTATGAGTGAACCAAATATAACTTACGTACAAATTTCAGAAAAAATTGCGAATATTATTATGTTATTTGGAAAAAAGGTACTAATTTGGAGGTTCATCTTGCTCTTTGATTTTCTAAATAAAAAAATCTCTAATCGCTGTTCACAGTATTTTTTCGTTGATGTATAGTTTTCTACCACATGTAGTACAAAATCCTATTTGCCTTAGATTACATATCGAAACATGTATCATCATCCAATTTCAAAAGCCTAAATGCCGATCATAAAAAAGGCGAGAAACTATAAATAACACGAGCAAAATACGATATGCATATGAATAAATACATCACATTCTCTCAAATTCTCCATAAAGGCAATATTCATTATATTTTATTGTTCTGTATTCACCCTGGAAGTGGCAAAGTATCCAATTTCGTCCATCCGAAAATGCTCCCGTTACATATGCGCACGACCATTACAAACGACCGAATATCCGGAGATGTACTTTAGATAGAGAAATATATATTGGATTGCCTATTTCGGCACAAATACATATTTCAAAGTAGTTTATGTGCAAGCGATTGTTTTTGCATACTGACACGATTTATTTTGCATATGGACACAACGAATCGTTTATAATTATTGGCATTCTACTTCCATTAAATGATTAGGCAACACCACAGCTAACACTCTCATTATAATTGGTAAAAAATGGAATTTGTAGCTGGTTTCAAATATTTCCAAGGTATCGTCACAAGATAATACAAACAGAGCATATTTCAAGTCAAAATGATTAAATAAACATTTCATTTTTAGAAATTATTAATCCTATCTTTTGTTTCGAAGAAAGTCATAAATTATATGTTTTAACATACCGTAGGGTAAGTTATAGCAGTAGGCCGAAAATCGAAAATGAAAATTTTTGCATATCTTTACGTTTCAGAGGTTTCTGAACATTTTGGCATACCTCAGAAAAAATTTATGTGTATGTTTGTTCGGATCAACCGGTTTGAATGGTTCAAAAACATTCGATTCATATTTATAGGGAAATGTGCTGATTAGTTTTTAGCAAAGGCAGGTCCAGCCGTTACGGAGATATGAAGCAAAGTGTGCTGAAAATAGAAATTGAGTTTTTGAGCGAACGGAGTATCTGATTTGAATGATTATACATAGTTCAATTTTCAGTAAAGTTTAATCATGCAAGCAATTCAGTTAGTGGAGAGTTAGTTTTAGTTCAGTCACTAGTTCAGGTCAGTTTTAAGTCAGTTGTATGAATTGTAAAGGTAATAATGAAATAAATAATCATATCAAGGTCTTTGTTAGTATATACTGATCAGCGCTTCTACATATTATTTGGTGATAGCAGACTCTATATATTTTGTTGGCAGCGGTAAGACCCAATAACTACCAATAAAAATTATAATTTAAATTAAAGTATGTGAAAATAACGATATCACTATTTTTCTCATTTAATTCCCAGAATATAATTTTCAATTACCTCAAATCTATCTTTATTTATTTATTCCTCTTTTTTACACACATCGAAAGTAGTTGGATCGGTCAGATCATTTCAAATCGTGAACTTTTATGTTCGCGAATCGAACAGATGCAAAATATTATTTTACATTAATAGTGGCAATAAAGCAACCGTCTTAGTTTTATTCACTAAATTAATTTCGGTTTTGAGCTTAGGATTGCGATTTGTTACACCGCACATCTGTCTCTCGAAAAACAACTGAATTGATTCTGAAAAGTCGGCACATGCTGCATAGTGTGAGATCGGGGGTAAATAAATATTTAAAAATATTAAATATTATCACTGCTTCAAATATTCAAACTTAAGATATAGGATACAATTCAATTTGGTTCGTTGTGCCTTTACTACAAAATAATGTATAAATAAATTGGTCAAATAAAAATTTGCTAATTTGAAATGTTCGCGCAATATTAAAAATCAATTGAAATTTATCGGTGTCAATTAAAATTCACTGTAGTTTTGCATTTGGAATGTGTGCCATAAGTGGATTTTTGCAAATTTTCTGTAGTAATGCTGAAAATGCTCAGTTTTTTAGTTTTAAACAAACATTTTCCATTTTAATTTCAAAAATTAATATTTAGTTTCAAGTTATTATATTTATTTCTTATCTCTTATCTCTTAAGCTCTAATCCAAGCTCTGTCTAATCCAATTCTTATTTATTAAAATCACAATTTTCTGAAAATTCAGCACAATCTGATTTGTATTTATTGAAAAGCTCAATTTCCTATATTTATTACTAAAAAATTTTGTACAATCTGATGTTAATATTTGAAATGCGCAATTTTCAAATATGTTTTTCTTAAATTCTGAATGAAGTTATTCACATTTATAGAAAATCGCAATTTCATATATTTATTACTTAAAAGTTTAGTGTAATCTAATTGATATTAATTGAAATTTGCAATTTTCAATAAATATCTATTCTTATTTATTGAAAATCTTAATCACCTATATTTAGTTTTTTTTTTAAATTCAGTGTAAGTTAAATATTATTTATTGAAAATTGCAATTTCCTCAATTTATTTCTTTGAAATTCTGTATAATCTCATTGTTTTTTTTGTTAGTTAGTTTCTATATTTGAAATACTATTTATTCAGTTAATTTGCAAATTTCCTATAGAAAATATGATTTCAAAATATTGTGTCAATTATACAGTGGTAAAAGATTACGAAAGTGATGTTTTTAAATTTAACTAAAACTTCATTGTGCAAACTTAAAAAAAGTTTTTTAATATGCTTATCGATGAAGGGTTTAATTAAAAACAATATAATAACATATCTTGAAAATTTTATCAATTTGATTAAAATGTATGTTTATAGATTGTGCATTTATAACCATATTTATGAATTATTGTTGAATTGCAATATTATTTAATTTGGTCGCAATTTCATAACTATTTTGCCAATTTTACCCCCAGATCTCTGTCTATTACTTCAGCACGCGTTTTAGCTTTTGCCGATTTCTGTTCTTTCTTATTGGAATCTTTTTATTAGAATTTAATATACAACAACATCGCTTTTGCCAGGTGCTCCATGCCATTCGACAAACGATACAATGTTTAGATCGAACAACAAAAATGATACGAGGGAAAAGAGTCAAACTGCCGAATAGGAAAAGTCGTTTTTTTTGCTGATTTTATTATAACACTTTAGATTCGCCGTATCAATAAGGAAAATCAATGTTGGCATGCATCAGCTTGAAAACAGATAACGTCGATGCA